TGGTTACCGTTACTGATTCTCAAAAGTAACTCGTTACCGTTATCGTTACTTAAAAAGTAGATAACAATTCGTTATTTTTCCGTTACTATTCTTTAATGCTGAAATAATAAGATCAGCACTAAAAAATTTTGCGATATTATTTGTTTAAATATTAATAAAAGCGATAAATATTAATGACATTAGACCGATATGTGAAAACATAACTAAGAACTTTCGATTAATTAAAACATGTTTAATTAATGTTTTAAACATGTTTTTTTAATACTGTTTAAGACATATATATTTAAACCATTAAAAACATGTTTAAAAAATACAATGTTTGGTCTTTAAAAAAAAACATTATTTTTTGTCAACTCTGACTTTATTGCATAAATAGATTTTTCCAGATTGAGCTTCAAGAAATTGATCTTTTTAATATGATCTCTCTAGTGAATCGATCCAAGTTGCTGCGATTTGAGATCGATTCAAATATTGATCTTCAATATATGAATTCCTGATCTTAAGACTGTGCTAAAATCGTCTTAAATATAAGAACGTATTTATTCGTCTTAAATATAAGAACGTATTATTATTGTATGTATAAATATTGGACTTATGGTCTACGTGATGCTACAAATGCTTTGCATTCTTTTATTAGTCAGTAAAATTCTTTCTTATTATTATTGGTCAATCGAATGCTTCAAAGTGTTTGTAATAATGCTTTGACCACATCACTTGATTACCAAATCTAAACAAATGTGTTTTCTGTTTGTATTAACAAATAGAAAACAGATTTTGCAAAGAGTAGGTATATTACAAACTTTGTCGACTGAATAAAAATTTAATAGAATTTACAATCTGGTGGCAGATAGAGTGCAAAAACCAATTCTAATATTTTGTGTTCATCTAAATAATAAACATTCTATTTAAATATTTACGAAATAGCAGATTTTGATTGATTTTTGTTGGTAATCTGTCATTATATTGGCAGTCTTTGGCTAGCAGAACATAAATTTCATGCGGGTACACATGCGGGATCTACAATTCAACAACCAATTAGTAACGGTAACGTCTACTATTGATGTTCTGATTGTTCGCTGTCACGCTTTTGCGACTTTAAAATGATCAGTTAGCAACCGATTCAAGTCAATCTGCTGCAATAATATTCTGCTGGCAAGTTGCTAGCATACTGTTAACACTTTGCTCATTAGGATAATTTTATCAAACGGCGATCAGCTATAAATCTTTCTTGTAAATTGATCACAATATTTTATCAAAGGGGAAAAGTTTTCATTCTGGCTTTTATCATTTAGAACGAGGTTAACAAGACTACTTAGGGTCTACGATCCTCGTTAGATTCATAGTCGTGGCAACGTTGTAACGTTCGCGAAACAAATGATTCCGCGCGATCCGATGATCGCGCAACAATTAGCGTGAAATACCGGCCGGCAACTGATTATTACTAACGAGGGCAAAATTATCAAGGTTTCATGTTGAATAAAGGTACTCATGTAAGGGCACGATGAAGTACTATACAGAAGCGGATGTCGGATGAGAGAGAAAGAGAAAGAAAAAGAGAGGAGAGAGAGAGAGAGGGAGAGTCGCGCTCATCGCCAAGCTACCCTGTGTTGGACATCCCATTAATCGGAGCCCCTATATTTATGTAAATTTACGCGCACTTCGCGCATGGCCTACGACAATGTGCGAGTTGCATCGAGCCATTCCCGTTTACAGGCCCTATGATGCCCCTAACGCATAACTGCGATCAACTATAATATCCGGCGGCAACGCCATTAGTAAATAAGGTGTAGTAATTACGCCGCGAAGGAGAGAGCGAACGAGAAAGAAAGAGAGAGAGGGGGGAGAGAGAGAATCAAGGGAGACTTAATAATGAGCAATTAAAGCGCAAGCTGCGCGGAGGAAATATTTTATTTTTTTTTCCGTGCTTCTTTCCCCCAAGCAAATGTATGTAAAACCGATAGACTTCTATTTTACACTTTTTATACCCGTAACTTTATATTTAAAACTTTTTATGGAATGTTTTTACACTTAAATATGTTTTGACCTAAAATTGTTCTTAAAATATATAAAATTACGAGGATTATCTAGATCTAGGATATAGGAATTAAGATATCGGATATCCTAATAGGATAGGAATTAGGACATAGGATTATTCGAATAATTTGAATATACAGAATCATCTGAATAATATATAAAATTGCAAAGATTAAGTAGGATTACATCAAAATATAAAAAAACTTTTCAAATTATATATTTTTCATTTACATTAAGTAAAAGTTGATACTCTATTATATTATATATCGTTTAAGTGTACTCTTGAAGGCAACAATATAGAATTAGCAATATTGCTTTCCTCGATTGATAAGACCGTTATTTCTTGACTTCGAATTATCACATAAATCGTACTTTATTATTTAAATATATCCTCATATATCCTGCTGTGGCTGCGAAAGAATAAAAGAAAAAATATCCATGAGAAGTCCGGGTATAAAAGAGCGAAATAAAATTCTTCTGATTGGTTAACTCCTACTTTATTTTTTCAATATTGTTCCTTTCGGCTATTTCTTTCTCCACTTGGGATGCACCTTTAAAATTATTCTTAAGACAATCTTAAATAACAATAAATACTAATTATGTCATAAATAGATTCAAAATAAAAAAAGTAACGACGAAAGTAATCATCAAATTCATTACCTACCGAAAAAATATAACTACGTTATAGTTAACTACGTTATAGCTACCAAATAAAAATTAACATTATCAGACCGTTATATAAAAAAAAGTAACTTGTAACGAGATAACGGCGTTACAAATAACTAGTTACTTCCTTGATAAAGACACACATAAAATGCGATTGGATAATTTTCTTTACACATTCATTAACGCGGCTATGCAAATTTGTTTGAATATTATAGATTCTAAAGATGGTTCCACAGACAATACAGTCAATGTACGTCAATTTTACGCACATTCGCTAAATATTGACCTACTGTTTAAGTTTTTTTGTGGGCAATAGCCTTAATTCCGGGAGAAAAGCACGATGTCTATAATAGCGAAATAATATCGCGTGAAAAAACGGTAGCCAACGATACATTCTTTCATTTAACGGAAGACTTTCTCTTGTTAATGGAGAGATGTGCGAATAGAGTTTCGAAGACCGCGAAAACCTATGTGTCTTTACGTTCGAGAGCTAGCTGTTATTGGACATAAAAGGAAGTTCGGAAATGAGAGGAACAAACAAAGGCACGTCTTATTGCAAATCTGAGATATGTTTCGTCCAAGGATCGTTATAGATTTAGCTCAACATGACGTAAAATAGATAAAACGTGTTGAATTTACAGATATACATGTTTCATGTCTTTCTTATGTTCAATTTATCGAAAGAGTTAAGGTGAGTGTTTATAATCTGCATATTTATGATACTCTTTCAATAGATTTACAAATCGCGTGCTCTCTCTACAATCTATAAATAGATAGAATCATATATTACATGTATCGGATTTTTTCCGTAGCTCTGATACGAAACAAGCTATGAGAAAGTATTCTGATTGTACTATATATGGTTCCCAGCCGTACTTTTTTAACAGTATATAAATCTTTTTGAGGTCGTAAAACTTTTGGTCAATAATTAAAGTTTTATATTTATAAACTTATTAATAAGAATTGTTAATAAATATTATATTGTAGAAATTTTATTTTATTAAATTCTCACATTTAAAGTAGGTATAGAATAATTATACCCCCTTCTTTCATCTCAAAATCATCTTTTTTAAAAAGTATATATATAGTTTATATGTATATATATTTATTTATTTACTCTTTTTTGTGATTCAGATATGGTAATCTCAAATTCTCCTAGATTATACCGACAAGAGGTACAAACAAAATGCATTCTGTGATTATGTATCAATTAAAACTCAGCTGGTTATCGTAATTGAATTTCTAAGTATCTCAATTAATTAAAATGTTCGTTAGATTTAATTGTATATAAGTATCTAATTTATATCTTTATGGTTGAAACTACCAGAATCTTTGAATCAATTAGATTTTATCTATTAAAGGAACATTCCGAACATATTGTTCGTTTCTTCATTGAAAAAAGTCTGGTTGCAGAAGATTCAACTAAAATAAAGATACAAATCAAATATTTATAGGCAATCCGATAATTCATACTCACTCTCTTGGAATCATTTTATTTTATTATTGTTTATTAAAATTAAACAAGAACAAATAATGCTGAATTCGAATTTATCAAATATTCTAGTCAATATAACCAGAAATTCAATTACACGGCAATCAGAATTTGATTGCTATGATTAAAATGCATTTTGTACCACTTGTTGGTACAATCAGACCATTTTTCTCAATATTGCGCGGCAATGAATTTTCAAATTTTTTCGTTTATTGGCCAGCCTCACGCGAGCCAATCGACGCGAGCCGTTAATATCACGTGATCCGATTTTCGAGTAGAAATTGCGCTTCCATCCCCGCAGTCGCTTCGCGTCGTTTCGCTTGTCATGATTGTTTTTGACGATCGTGCGCTAAATTTCATAAAAGTCTTCTGCGATGTAAACGGGGCTTACAACGACCCCCTCGATCGAAGTGGAGACGCGATCGCGGTAAAGACGCATTCGTGTACGCAGTGAATCCGCCCGCCTCGCGTCGTTGTGCACATACATACATACATACAAACATACGCTCGCTATTCGCGGGCGAGCGAGCGGTACACTCTCGCGGTGAATCGAACTTAAGGGCGTCATGAAGTGGGGTGCGGACGGTCGCGAGCGCGCGCGCGCGCGCTGAGAGCGAGCGAAAGAAGGAGAGGGGGGAGCCCGCGAGACGGAGGGTCAAAAAATGCGAGGCTGCGCGCGCAGCCGCTTTGTCTCTTCCGTCAAGTAGTGGCTCGGCGGTGCGGTGGGGGGCGCTCGGAACCACGAGGGGGCCACCAAGGGTCCGCGAGCGGACCATGGCGGAGCAGCGGCAAACTGCATCCTCTCAGTCGGCCGCTGAACCCGCGCGCCGTACGGTTGGTACGCGTGCGTTTACCCGCGCTCGACCGTCCGTCCGTCCATCCGTTCGAACGTTCGTTCGTTTCGCGCACTGTACGCCGTCTTTCGCTGTATCGTCTTCTTCCGACTGCCGTCGCGAGCGAGTCCGACGCGTGCAAGTGATATCCGCACGATTTTCCTCTGTTATTCTTCCCCGGAGCTGTTTGCAGTGCCTACCCCCGACCGTCCAACAGCGGTGTTCCATCCGAGGGGAAAGCGGCGGGGTCAATCGTGGGTGCTACTTCACCCGGCGAGAGTCTACAAGATCTACCCTTTTGGATTTTTCGGGATCGTCTCTCACGCTGGTGAATCGTCCTCGTACGCGGTCAACGCGAATCTTTCCTGCACATGGTGAGTACGCTACGAACAGTACTGAATGCCGCATTGACCGGCAGTTGTCTCGCGAAACGGCCACCCTCGCTCGGCTGGTGACTCACGGGGGTGGATTGAAAGGGATGAGAGTGGAGGCAGGGCTTATTATTCCCGCGAGAGAGTACCGTTATCTCCTCGCCAAAGTCGAATAGCAAATACATCGATATTCTAGTCGAGGGGAAGAGGAATGAAGTTGTCTCTAATGTCCGTTTTTTTTTTATCAACGTAGATTAACTTTAATTTTTAATATTTTCCTTTAGTTCTAAGAATTCGAAAAAAATAAGTCGTAATTAAAGTCAATCTAGATTGGTAAAAATGGACATAAGAGCGAATGGAACGTTTTGGATTTGAAAGTTTCTATGCACTTGTTTCTTCAATTTGAATTTCATGGAATGGTGAGAGAGATATCTTTGATCGTCGGAAAGCGACGATCGATATGAAGGAATGAACGTGATTTCCAATATGGCTCCTAATAGATGTTTTGTCCTTGCGAAAGATTGGGGCACGCTCGAATTTCGAGCTGCATCGAATGAATTGACGTTTATGTCGATATTATCGGGTCACGGATACGATTTTCTATGCAGGTGCGACCATTGTAATCCGAGCATTCGTTTGAGCAAAGCAGACAAGTTATACTTTCTTCTCCGTAATGCCCATTTGGGAAACCACTGTGGTTATTTTATTACCAGGAAGATATACTGCCTATTGTATAAATAAAAGAATTTATTATATACGTGTTTATATGTAACAGGAAATATACCAAAGTAACCATTGATTTTTCGATCAAATAATCAAACAAATTGAATCTGACGAAATCTAGTTTAACGCCTGTTTCTACCATGTAATTTAATTTTAATCTCGGTTCGACTAACTCTTCACCTTTTCTAGTTCCAAGAATTAGGAAAAGATGAAGAGTAAGTTGAGATTAAAGTTAATTTACTTTAATGGTAGAAACGGGTATAATAGAAACATGTAGGTTAGGTTAGGTTTTTACCATTCATCGAGAAAGTATACAAAGGTACAAGAATATATGAAGATGTATGCCATACATTTTTCTCAAAAAATGTATTTTGTATAAACTTTGTGATACTCGTTGTGTCAGGAACTATAAATAAAATCGTGTCGCGCGTGAAATCTGTATCTTCTTTTCGGAATAATCTTTCCTGACGTTTATTAGACAGGGAACGTCATTTTCAAATTTAAACTGCATTTTAGTGCGATCAACTCTGAATTGTCGTCGACCGCACTTGAAGCGTGATTCGTTTTTTTTTCTCTTTTTGCAGAAATCAATTCTTGCCGCCGCAAAGGCACGCTATATATATCTAACTCATAGATGTCTTTTCTCATTACGGATCCTTTGGCCTCAAGGCAATTTTTCTTTGCTTCAAAAAAGATCATAATTTATTGCAACTTCGAAGTTGAAACATGATACATTTTGTAATTAATTTTTAATTTATGATTCTATTAACCTTTAAGTAGATAGATATATCCTCAGACAAGCAATTTTTATCTTTATAGTTATACTTTTTAATAATATATATATATATATAGTTAAATTAATTTTATTTATACTTTCATGCGATAGAAGAATATAAATGTAATAAACTTTAAGACTTCTGGGCTTTTTTCATTTTCCTTTTCCAGGACGAGACCTTTATAAACTTGGCACCTGGCTTTTTATAAATTAAATTTTTTTTATTAAAAAATGATAATATTTTGTTTGTAGTAACAATAATTTCGTTTGTAGTTTCATGTATAATTTATTATAAAAAGTGGGATGCCAAGTTCAAAAGGTCTCGTCCTGGAAAAGGAAAATAAAAAAAAATCCAGAAGTCTAAAGTTTATTATTTTTCACAAAGGTCAGAACGAGGTTTTTGAGATAATGTACGTGGGATGCTGTAGCCACCTACCTGTTTAAAGGTTAATAAATTCAAAACGGATTGAAAAATATGATTTTATTATTATTTACAAGCCACTGAATTTTTTCGGTTTTTAAAATAAAATTTTTAGTTCACTTCGAAGTGATTTTTCTTCAGCTTCCGAAAAGCAATTTATCGCAAATTTTTAACAAACTACATTTAAAAAAATTTTTATCTTACAACTCTATTAAGGAATTAATGCGATATGATCTGAAAAATAGATATGCTTTCGTTATTTATTTTCTTTAAAGCTTGCATCTATTGAAAAATCCTGTTATCCTTTTGTTATTCTTTAAAGCTTATAGTTCGAAAAATTCTATATTTTCTTTTGATAATTTCAAATAGCTTTTGGCTAGTATAGTCAGTGACAATATTTTTGTTTGGTAAATAATCGTTCTAAATGGAACAAAAAATTCGTGATAAGAAGGAGATTTAGGACGTTTTGGGACATCGCGTATACTTCTAATAATAAAAGCTCTCAGAGTAACTCGCTAATGAGTACGCTGTGAAGAAAGGGAACGGCTGCGCTCGCCGGGTTTTCACACGTGCACGCCAACGCGAGCAAAAGTGACGCAACCGAGAGAAAAGTGCTCGCTATCGCGAATAAAGTCGAGAGTTTTTGATTCCGCGCGAGCCGTGCGCTTTGCATGCAATCTCGTGTTGTGGTGGCTCCGTTAATATCTGTCGTAATATTCGCAAGAACTTATTTTTACGGCCGATAATTCTTCGCTCGTCTGAAAGTCATTAGTTAGCAGTTAACGTTGAAGTCTCTGTTGAAACACTTTTAATAATAAAAGAAATACATTATCCGTCAGACAAAAATCGTATCTCCATCTTTAAACAGCCGTACGCTAATAAATGCGATAACGATCGCAGCGACGCATAATTGTTATGCAATTATTATTGAGCGCCGTCGATGCGCTCGAATAAGCGTTTCCTTGTATTGATTTCGCCGAGAAAGTCATCCTGTATCGATGATCGACGATCGTGCGTGACGTAACGCGACATTTTCGAGTTTTTCGCTTCCTCCGTGAACGCGACCGGTTTTCCTACGATCGCGCGCGGTTTAGCTGAGATTTTTCGACGGCCAGATGCGTGAGTATCAAGTGTATCATGTAAATGGAGAAACAAGAGGGTCGCGCGCGTTGAATAGCAATACTCCTCGGTGGTTCGTTCTCGAGTGCACAAAATTGTGCGTGTCTCACATGATATAATCATAAGTGATACTAACAAGTTTCACAACTGTCCGGAACTGATTTGATTCTCCATAAAATATGTTGTTAAATACGAAAATCTAAGAAACACGTATTTTCTTATACGTGCGCTAACTCATGTTTAAGGGGTGAAACACCCCTTCGAAGAAAAACGGTATTTCTATTTCGAGTTGAATACCGTCGGAAGTATAAAAGATGGAAAAAAATTTTTTAAACAAAAGTTGTACGATTTCAAGAGTACTTCAATGTTGTGAAAAAAATTAAAAAAATTTTTTATTAATTAAAAAAATTAAAAATTTTTTTTTACAACATTGAAGTACTCTTGAAATCGTACAACTTTTGTTAAAAAAATTTTTTTCCATCTTTTATACTTCCGACGATATTCGGCTTGAAATAGGAATACGTTTTTCTTCAAAGGGGTGTTTCACCCCTTAAACATGAGTTAGCGCACGTATAAGAAAATACGTGTCTCTTAGATTTTCAGTGTTTAACAACATATTTCATGGAGAATCAAATCGATTCCGGACAGTTGTGAAACTTCCCTTGTAAGAATGGGATTAACATAATACGAACTGTAGCTGCAATACTGTATGTCACGCGCGATGAGTGCATACGCCGTTTTATCATGCGACTTTCCTTCCCCTCCTGTACGTCGTTACTTCCTCCGGATGAGATATACAATGGAAAAAAGGGCAAATTATAGGCTGTACTACGTCTTTATATGCGTATAGAGTCTTCATCGGAACGTATCTTCAGGAAGTAAGGCTCAACTGGCGTACGTTGACACTGACATTTTCAACTTTTTCCTCTCGCATGTATTATTTCTCACAGGGAACAATAATTTTTATATATTTACAATGTTGTGTGCTATGATATTGAATAAGATTTTTTTTATTCTTAGAATTTTAAATAATTAAAGCATATTTACATTTTGATAATCAAATGTTGTTACAACGGAAGACTCAACGTTGTCGCAAAGCAATTCGTGCTTCCTTCCGTTTAAATCTTGATAACATAAGTCATCAATAACCGCAATCTGGCGTAATTGCCGTAATTGCTATAACATTCCCATCGCGGGGAAAGCTACTGTCCGCGCACTTTAGTCCATAATTAAAGGCGAAGTTGCGTTTTCACGTTCTTAAGTGTTAACAGCGGCAATTATCCATAATCGCGGTTTATGACTATAATCACAACATTCCCATATATTCAGATTGATACCTCATGGGTCCTTAATTGAAAACGACGTGTGTTCGAAATTACATTTAATCGTATAACGTTGTCATCGCGGAATATCTAGGGAAGGACTTTCACGACATCGTAGTTTGATTTCAGAATCGCTCGAGAGGAGCGCGAACCGCCAAGTTATGCCAACTCCCGACATTAGTGTCGCAGTACGACAATCGATCTTTCCGGCTAACCCGACTACCGCAAAGCTTCCGCTGTGGAAAATCCCACTTCGCGTCTATTAACCCTTGGAATCTTGATAACTGTCACGTAAAACGTACGAAATTAAAGATAAATTAAAAAAATAAATTTAGGAAACAATATTAAAAGATATAACAACTTTAAATGTACATTATATTTTTTTATATATTCTGTGTAAAATTTGTATTAACAATGGAATATATTATGTATATTTTTAATTATCATTATTATATATATATATATTTATTAATATTATGTTATATTCATTGATATTAATTGTTATTACATATTATTTAATAAACAGGAATGGCGGGTTTATTTAAGGAAAAAAAACTTATATTCTAGTAGTGTCCGCCACGTCATAATACTAGACTCGACTTAATATAAAAGTGCGACATACATGTACAGATATTCGGAACGA